CGCAGCTACTTGTAGAGGTGGGGGTTTGGTCATTCTAGGGGGTCCTGGGACTGGGGGGAAGCTGGGGGGCCTCGTGGGGGGAGACTGGGGATGGGGGTTCTGAAGGCGACGGGGGGATCACTTGGGGGGCCGTGGAGAGGGAAAATAGGGCAATGGCTGGCGTGGGAGTCTTTGTTTTTATTTGGAGTATTGTGAAACTGGGAGGGGATGGTTGTGTAACCTTTATATTAGTCATCTGGAGAGCTTTTTCTAGGGAATTGGCTATTTTGAAATTACTACTACAACAACAACAACAACAATAATAATAATAATACCAGTGCTAGTAATCGTTCCTACTTTTGGGGCTTGCCCCATGCATTACTGTAATCTACTTTTTTGAAGTTGGTCAAAACTTAGGTTAAAAGCATGCCTAGCTACATCCACGTGTATGTCTGGTTTATCCAAGCTGGCTGGTCATCATTGGATAAATTATTTTCCAAAAAATTAATTGTCAGTAAAAGCATCAGAGATATAATTCAGCGAGATGAAATGAGTGGTTTAGTTTTAAAGTTAGGAGGGAAGAGTGTGTGTGTGTGTGGTATGCAGAGATTTCCATGGGTGGAGGTCTTTTGGATTGGGGAGAGGTCTGACTAGCACAAAGGATGTAAAATGGGAACTATCATTCCGCAAACATGGAGGCGCTCCCAGTCTGAGTGAGGGATGTGCAGAGGGGGGCGTTTCTGGTAAAATTAGGGTTTATGGGAAGGGATGGTCTCCCTTTCCCCTTCCTTGTTTTCCTTCATGTGCTTGTAATCCTTCTATAGAGATACAGCCACAATGTGGATCCAAGTGCGCACCATGGATGGGAAAGAGACACATCGAGTGGACTCCCTTTCCAAGCTAACGAAAGTGGAAGAGCTCCGGCAGAGGATCCATGAAGTTTTCAGGGTGGTGCCTGATAGGCAAAGGCTCTTCTACAGAGGCAAACAGGTATCTCTCTTTTATTCTTCTTTCTATTAAGCATTAAAATCATGTTGGGACAATGCGCATTTGTGCTGTTGTCAGGACTGGAGATCAGTGCATAGCACTTAACTACCTACCAAGTGCCATAGATTCCTTTGTGTAGTTTTGCCATATCATACCAGTCCTCAACTCCCCCTTCCTATTTCTGGATTTCTGTTGTGTAAATCAAGGAAATGCATAATTCAAATCTCAAGAGTGACTTAAAAAGGTGCGTGTGTGTGTGTGTGTGTGTATACACACACATACACCCACATACACACTAACTCTGTATATACCAGTGATCTTAAGGATGAGTGAGCTGGATAGATATCAAAAGTAGTTGCTGTGAACAGCAGTGCTGTCTCCATGCTACTGATGTGTGTTATATCCTGCAAATGTTTTTCTTAATACAGGTAGTCCTTGCTTACTGACCACTTGTTCAGCGATTGTTTGAAGTTGCAATAGCGCTGACTGAGGGGGACTTACTATTGGTCCTTGAAGTTCTGGCTGTTGCAGACCCTGCAGTCACACAATCGTGATTTGGGCACTTGGCAACTGGCTCACACTTATGATGGTTGCAGTGTCCCGCGGTCATGTGATTGCCATTTGCGACCTTCCCTGCCAGCTTCCCACAAGCAAAGTTGATCTGGAAACAGCAGGGAAGGTTGCAAGTTGCCCTGGTAAGCACTCCCCGGCCTTCCTGCGCTCACGCCCTGCCACACCATGTGCCTCTGGCCTTCCTGGACTTGCACCCCGCTGTGCCATCCACTCCCCACCAGCCTGCCCGTGCCTGGATTCCCAAGCCCTCCCCCAACTCACATTCGGTTTGTGCCGGCCCTCCCAGAGCCTCCGCTGGCCTCACCCACCCTCCCCCTGCAGCACTCCTGCACTCCTAACCTGGGACTCCCGCCACTTCCCACTTAATGACCCGCACAGTTGGGGTTACAGCAGCAACTGGGATCGGGATTGCCAATCCCAGTCCCAATTGCCATGGTAACCCAAGGTCTACTTGTAGCGCATGTGCCAACTGGTTGAAACTGTTCGTTCTCGCACAGTGGAAATAAGGCCATAAAATTTCATTTTGCAATCAGTAGCTTGGTTAATGGATATTAATGGATACTGAGGAATCTAACTCCGTGACTGAAATTTAGGTCTTAGAATGAATTTGGCTGTGAGTCTCATACTTAAATGGCTTATTTGAACTGGTTAAAAGCTTCCTAAGGAGGCTTGTTACTAATTTGGTTAAAAAAAAAAAGAAAATACTTGCACTGCCCTCTAGCGATAACGCTCCCACAATGTTTTGATGGTAAACAAAAAGGTAAAGATGTCCCCATTCTAGTGACTTCATGGACCCGTCAGTTTCCTTAAAATGACAGAGGGGCTCACCATTTTCTTTGGCGATGTTTTTCCAGCTTCCCACTCTGGCTGACAATCTTAGAGTTCTCTGGGGGTTTCCCTTCTAAGGACTAGCTAGGCCTGGCCTTCCTTAGTTCAGAAAAAGTTGTATACTCTTACTTGCTTCTTGGCAATTCCTTTGGTATAGCTCAACTGAATCAGTAGCATGGCAGTATAAAGTGCTGTGTTAATGTTCCCGTTCTAATATCAGGTAAATCTTGCTTGATTTGGGTTCTTTAAAGGGTACCAAAGAGTTAACCTACTGTATTTACTTGAAATGAAGAGTATTTTTCCCAATTTAATTTAACTATAATGGGAAGATTGTGTTGTATTAACTGTGAATCTAGTAAGATAAGGTAGGTAAAGTTTTTTTTTTGTCTTCCTCTCCCTGTGTGTGTGTGTGTGTGCGTGTGCATATGTGTGATTCTGTTACAGAGGGGTTTTTGGGGGGTAAATATTGAATAGCTCCAGTGTGAATGCAGAAATGTACAAAACAGAAATGCAAACTAGTTCTGGTGTGCTTGGCAAAACCTCGTTCTCAGACTTTTCTCTTACAAAGTGCAGAGAAGAATGTTCATTCTAGTGAAGTGGCTGACGCTTGGTGCTGAGCAACATTGCCTTTTAATTCTACACAATTTGTGAACATTCTTATGGTGGCTTAGGAATGTACAAGAGCTTCTGGCTCTGGCTACTGGCTTCCTGTTGTCGATGGCCAGAACTCATGGGGCTGGTTTTGATGCAGCTGAGTGGCTCTTGTTTGCTTAGATGGTTATCACTTCGTATTAACAGGATAAGGATGTCAGTTTTTATGATCTATGTGCCATTAAAATAATTGGAGAATGAAGAGGAACATCAGAGTTCTTGAGTTTAAACATTTTTCAAGATATTTCAAGATAATTTCAGTATTTGATGTTTATGTTAGGTCTTTTTAGACATTGTTCTAACTTTTTATCTTATGTGTCAGAAAAAAGTACCTTAAACCAATGATCCTCAAACTGTGATTCAGAGAACACTGGTGGTGATTTACTGAGATGCTACTAATTCTAGACACATTTCATGAAAGATGGACTCTTTTATCTTAAGCCATCAGCTGTGGCCATCAGTCTCCTAAAAATGTACATTACCACTGTCTGTTGAAAGATCTCTTATCCTATCTTAGAATATCCCTCAGAACAGAAGGCTGAGTAGTTAATCTATGGATACATATGACCAAAGTGCTCAGACAGATGTGTGGAACTTTGATGTGAAGGAGACTTTGGCAGTCTCAATCAGTAAGGCAATGACACACAAAGATATGGGATTGTTCATGCATCTAGGTAGAGCCAGGATTTTCCCCTTTTCTATTTCTCTGGTGGCTTTCTTCAACTATTTTAAGCCTAACAGAGGTTGCTGCAGGCATTATTTATTTATTAAATTTGTGGGCGTTATTATCATCAACATCATCATTGTCAACAGTGCACAATTTTGTTTGTCTTGCACAAGTAGTCCCCGGGTTAAGAATGCCTGGTTTAAGGATGACCCATAGTTAAGGATGAACCCTATGGTAGCAAAATTTGAGTTAACTACAAATGATTAGAGTTAAATACACAGTGGTTTGAGTTAACTACACAATAGTACTTATCTGGTATTATACAATAATACTGTTTTGGCTTACATACAAATTCGACTTAAGGACAGACCTTGGGAATGGAACTCGTTCTTAAGCTGGGGACTACCTGTACTTCAAAATCATGGGAAGCTGCACAACTAAATTTTGAGGAACACTTTAGCCCACAAACAATGTAGCCATTCCTCCAATGTTGTTTGCTCTGAAGAAATCCTCAGTATAAAGCAATCACAATGAAATGTACCTGCCTTACCAGAGACACAACTAATAATGCTATTTAATAGGTCTTCGGCTGGAAGATTGCAGTGTCCTGGAAGGGGAAGGAAGGTGTAAATATTGGTGTTACTTTTCTGTTTTGGAAATCCAGCCCACTATTTTCCTATTCTTGATGGCTCTCCAAGGTTTCCAATGAGTCTTCCCTATCTGGAGTGGTTGGGCCTTCAGTCTGAAACTTTCTGCATGTAAAGAAATACTTTAACAATGAATTATAGATTAGTGTCTATATGAACTCAATAGTTTAATTTAATCTTTTGGTAATGTTGATTATCTTTTGTGATGGTGATCTTCTAACTCTTAAATTTGCAGATGGAAGATGGTCACTCCCTTTTTGATTACAGTGTTAACTTGAATGACATTGTTCAACTGTTAGTAAGACAAAGCCCTGCTCTCCTGCCCCTGGTGAACAAAGAGAAAGATTCTGAACTTTCGGACACGGACTCTGGCTGTGGTTCAGGCCAAAGTGAATCTGATAAAAGCTCCAATAATGGGGAAGGAGCTGTGGAGATGGAGGGGCAATCCAGTACTGCGGTTCGGACTGACTTGGTGGACCCAGGCTTTGGATTCTATAAGGTGCGACTGTTTTAGATGCAAAGACATTTGCAAGCAGTAGAGCCTATGTAACAGTTCTGGGAAAACTGTTCAAAGAATCAGCAGATCTATATAATACACTAAGCCAGGATTAACAGTCACAGTTAAGGGCTCAGGCAATTAATGTTTCCCAGGCAATAGAGCACGCCATAGCCAGCCACAGTTTGACAATTCCCCCTACATTTGTCTGAAATCCTAGCAAACTTTGCACCACCAGACCATCTAATACTTCCTGGTTGCTGCTGTGTATATACCTAAATATATAAATAAAGCAAGCAGTGTCCTGATCAAAGAGAGACCGATGGTGGCATATGCTAAATTCTTACCCCAGTCTCTTTCTTTTGAAAAAATAACCCCCTTTTGTGCACTAGTTGGGATGGGGAACCTGGAACAGCAAAGTAATGGCTGTGTGAGGAATAATGTCCATTTAACTGTAAATTATCAATCTTCCTGAACCACAGTTTAATCTGTGATCCATGTTTGGATATGTCAAGTCAAACAATAGCATCGCTTACTTTGTGAGAAGAGGTTTTTAGGCTGGATAGTTAAAATGGATGCAAATACATAGCACAGATCTTTGCATATAATTTCTGAAAGCCAGCATTTCAGGAACCATCATCAAATATTTAACAGCCAACCATATGCAGTAATAAGAAAATATTTTCATGTTGCTGGTAACCTAGAAAGTAATTAAGACACTAAATTACTAGCTATTTTGGATTTTTCAGACCCTAGGATACCTTATGATAAACAGAGGTTTATATATAGACTGTATATATAAAAGTTATATTCACATGAAAGCAGGATTTTGAAGAATCTTGACTTACATGTTGTTAGCTTATTAAAAATAAGTATCTTGCCTTTGGGCTTCTATTTTAGATTAATGAGTTGGTAGATGCTCGAGACACAAGCATGGGGGCCTGGTTTGAAGCCCAAGTTGTCAATGTGACTCGGAAAGGAAAATCAGCAAACAAGGCAAGTGAAAGTGATGAGGAATCCAATTTGGAAGAAGCTGTTCCTGAAGAGGACATTACATATCATGTGAAATATGAAGAGTGAGTACTTTGTTTTTTCTAGTGTCTTTGGAGCAGCAGCATTTGTTCAGAAAGCATCTTGGATTTTGAAGATGGTGCTGATGTTGCAAAAGTCATTTGGATTTAGATTCATCCAGGCTTCCGCAGTCATGTTTGCTCTGGAGAGTACTCTGTCCCCATCTAGTAAGCCTCAGCCATTGTCTTCAATGTAAAGAGGTAGTTGGGTGTTACCCAGACAGTTTTATAGTGGTCCCTGTCTCTTCCATAGCCACAGCATTAGGAGAAAGGTCTCCTGGCTCCTGTAGCTGTATGGAACAAACAAGCAAGCTGCAAACCTCTTCTGAGTTCTGCAAAAAGAAAATTGGGGGGGGGGGGGGCTTCTTTGGCTGCTGTGTTTCCTAACCTTCCAGATGTGCAGACTTCAAGTCCCAGAAATCTCATCTGTGGCCATGCTAGCTGTGGAATTCTAGGATTTGAATTTGAATTCCACACATCTGGAAATTGCCAGGGTTGGAAAACAGTGGGCTAAATTATGCCCAGATGGGCAAGGTCTTTGACTCCCTTTTCTGTGGGAAAGGAGGAGATTTTCCTTGGCTGTCATCTGATGGTAACATCTTAAGATGAGCCTTTTTATTGCTGTTGGGATGTTCTTGCTGTTCCTATTTCTGTTCCTGCAGAAATGCTTTGTTTCTAATTTTTCTTTATACCAAACCTGTTAAATTTCTGAATATCCACTAGACACAGAAAAGGTGAGGTGAAATTGCCACCAGCATAGTCAGATTTCTTTACTATCCAGTTTGAAGCATAGGTGCTTATCCAGCATTGCTAAAATCTGAAATCCCTGACCTGGGTGTTTTTTTGTTTTTTTTTAATACTTTGAGCATCATAGATCTTAGATGACTTGGTAAACCTGCATTAAACCTGGAGAGAAGGCAGACCCTTGGTAGTTGTCCCCCGTGCCAGAATGCTTAACTACCTGCAGTGCTCCAGTATTAAACTCTACCATTCTACTTCCAGTTGTGGATTTACACTAATAAGTAGCACGTACACTTACCTAGTTGAGGCACTTGATTTTTTTTTGTTAGCTCCTGTCCACTGTGTAGAACAGATGGATATCCATGCCATGTTTTGTATTCCAACAATTTTGATTTAAATCTCTGGTAAGGAAGATTCAGATTAATTATTTGAACTTATGTAGTGGTCAGGAAAATTCTAATTTCCAGTAAAAGTGTATTCTTGTTATTTGAATATATATGCATTTTTCAGTAAGAGATATAGATATATATAGTCTAAAACCTGAAATCAGTACCTGCACAAAATTGATTTATTTTATGCTCATACAATTTCCTTTTTCCATTTTGTTATAGGAAATGCTGGACAAGGAGTGTCGTTTAATCTTTATACAGGAATTAAATTATTATCACCCTTTTATGAGTAATGATAATAATGATAAAGAATGGTTTTGGGAAGGTAGAATGGTTTCCTTTATTTTATTGTCTTAATTCCCTCTATCCCAAATAAAGCTATCCAGAGAATGGTGTCATCCAGTTGAACTCCAAAGATGTGCGTGCTCGTGCCAGGACGATTCTAAAATGGGAAGAGTTAGAAACTGGAGATGTTGTCATGTTGAATTATAATCCCGATGATCCAAAAGAGAGGGGGTTTTGGTACGATGCTGAGATCCTACAGAAGCGGGAAACAAGGACTTACAAAGAGTTATATGCCAAGATCGTTCTTGGGTAAGTGAGAATGCTTGGAATCTGTCAGTCAGGTGTCCAAGCAAAATGTCATTCCATGGGTTCACCCAACCTTTTGGAGTCCGTGCTAATGTAACCCAGATATGTTTTCAGTTAGAAGTTGAAAGGGAAGGGTTGCCATTTAGATCCAATGTAGGAGCATTAATCTGGCAAGTCACCTATTTGCCCTGTTTTTCCTGTGGCATTGGTAGGAAGGAATTATGTGGGAGAAATCTCCATTATTACCTCTTCTTCTGCATAGCTTGTTCTGATGCCCTGTTTTGTAGTGATGGTGGAGATACCCTGAATGATTGCCGAATTGCTCTGGTGGATGAGATTTACAAGATTGAAGAACCAGGCTGTGCTGTTCCTCTTACTGCAGAAAGTCCCCTAAAAAGTGAGTTCTGTCACTTGCCTTCATATTGACTTGCCCTGCTTAGCATTAAATAATAGTTTTCAATAGAAGGGAGTATCTGTAGCTCAGGGTTGTACTGTGGAGTCCTTGGGGTTCTCTGAGCTTGGTTGTTTGCTTGCAGACGTTTTGTTACCCAGCCAGGTAACATCTACTAGCACTGAAGATGTTACCTAGCCAGGTAACAAAACGTCTGCAAGAAAACCACCAAGCTGCGAGAACCCCAAGGACTCCATGATAATAGTTTTTGCTGAAAATATGCTTGTGGAGGGATGGGTCAAGACAAAGTTGTCTTTGGTCCTCAAGGGATGAGATTACTATTAGATAGGGAAGTTCTTTCTAGACATCACACCTAATAAAGGTTGATAAATCATTTTTCTGAAAAATTTTCCATCTCACCTTTTAAAAAACCATCTAAGCCTTTCCATGATTATACTAGTGAATGCCATAAATTGTATCTCTTGGATGAGGTTCAGAACCAACATCCTCTGTGGCTTTCTGTCTTTTGCCTGTTCTTTGTGAGGTGCTTATATGTGTCTTCTCTTAAAATTTATTTAGGGCAAAGTGGGCCAGTGTGCAAGCATTGTAAAGACAACCCAAACAAAACCTGCCGGATGTGTGCCTGCCACATATGTGGTGGGAAAGAAGACCCAGAAAAACAGCTAATGTGTGATGAGTGTGACATGGCTTTCCACATTTATTGTCTTAACCCCCCTCTTAGCAGGATACCTGATGATGAGGACTGGTAGGTCAAAATAAATGCCTACAGTGCGTCTTAAGACATGTGGCTGTCCTAGATAACTTTTTGCTTTTAGGCTTGACAATCATCATCTTTGGGGGATGAGAAGCAGGACCAGCCTTAAAAAAAAAAGCCCTTTAATCCCACCTTTTTTATACCCCCTTCCCTAAATGAGAGTTTGACAACCACTTTTTCATCAATCTTCCCTGCCAGTCAGCTCCCATATATTGGGAATGAGGAGGTTGCGACCCTGGTCTTTTGTTGATGCCGTTATGGCACTGCTTCTGTTTCCTTTGGAGCCAAGTGCTGTGCTGAAACATTTTATTGGCTTCCCAGGAACTGTAGAGAGTATAAGTGGTAATATCATGAGAGTGCTTTTGTTGGTGGGACAACACAGTTTTTGGAAGGTTTTAAAGAGCAAACAAATTCATTTTGCCCCTTTAAATCTTCCAAACTGGAGAACATGACCCATTTGTGGGGGGATTTAGGGCATCCATGTCAAGATTCCTCATCCTTCATATGCAGAAGAGATGAAAAACCAGCTTGAGGGGTATCCTTGGGATCCACTTGCATGCGGGTTGTCTGTCTACTTTAGTGGAAAGTTTAGCTTAATGTGGAACAATCATTGGGGATTCAAAATTCATGCTTCCTCGACACTTCTATAGCGATCCTCAGAGTAATACAAAACATCTTTTTGTGACTTCCATCTTGACCAATTTGTGAAAAAGAAAGTATTGTTCCTGACCATTCAACTTGGCACGCAAAATACTTTGCCAGGAATTACGCTTGCTCGGTACAAGGATGTTTTTGTAAACAACTTGGATATGCAAACAATGCAGTTCTCTCAGACCATGTAGGTCAGAGTTTCTCAAGCTTGGCAACTTCTAAGATGTGTGGACTTCAACTCCCAGAATTCCCCAGCTGGTGTTTGAGAAACCCTGAAGTAGATTGTGAGCTCCAGACTGGTTTCATTCTTGCTCCTCCTGTCTGATCGTGTTGGGGCGTGAGTGCCACTAAATGCAAGTGCGGCTGTTATGCATATGGGAGGCTCTTGCCACAGAACCTGGTATTTCCAGCTACCACTTCTTGGAAAGAACCCTGCTGAAAGTTGGAATAAGGACCTAGATTGACCTGTAGTGTGAACAGATAGAAAACTTCATAATTTCAATGAAAGGTGTTCTTCTCTGGGCAGCACCCGAGTATGTCTACAGATAAAGTTTTATTAAATTACTGAGTTCTATCTCTCCTTAGTGTGTTATATCTGTATAAAAACATGCAAAATTGGCAAGGTTGTGAACCATCCAGAGTTGGTACAAGATGGGTGGCTATATAAATATTTTAAATAAATAAGTAAATAAAGCAGCAATGTTTTTCAGAAAGGAAAACGGTTATCTTGTGAATTCATGTTGATTCTCTTCATGACGCAGTCCTGCCTGACATGCTTTGGGCAGTCTTGGAGAGTTTCTAACCTGCTGCAACGGGACAATTGGAAATTGTGAAAGTAGCTTTTAATATATGCTTTTATCTGGTACTGCAGATAAAAATCAGCTGAGAAAATGAATGCTTCCTTCTTCTTCTTTAAACACTAGGTATTGTCCTGAATGCCGAAATGATGCAAGCGAGGTGGTTTTGGCGGGCGAGAAGCTGAAGGAAAGCAAAAAGAAATCTAAAATGGCATCTGCTAACTCGTCTTCTCAGCGGGATTGGGGCAAGGTACCGGATGTTTGGTTTTGTCTGTTTGTTGGAGAGAGAAAGATGCCCACTCATGGCTCAACCAGCACAAATATATATTGGATGCTTCTAATTTATTAAAAGTACTGGAAGGCTTGTGGAGAGAAGCGGGAATCACCAAGTAGGGAGAGGAGCTGGCAGGAGCAGCCTCACAAGCTGCACGGTGACTGTTGGGTGCAGTTGTCCTGATAGGGAGTCCCAGGGTTCCGAGCACATTTCCTGGATGCAGTGCCTTGCATAAGGTGAAGATCTGTTGCTCCACCAGCGAATGTGCAGCTGAGAGGCCCGATGGGCTAATTCTGGGGATTTCAGGGATGGGGTACTTCATTAGAACTTTGGAAAAGCACAGGTGGGCTTTAGCCAGTCCTTACTTCAGCCCTTTTGAATGCATCCATGGTTGTGTTGTGTTGATCATGTTTAAAATGTAGCTCTCCCGCTCCCCCTTTTTTTCTTTTTAAGGGCATGGCATGCGTAGGCCGCACAAGGGAATGTACCATTGTGCCATCCAACCATTATGGGCCCATCCCTGGGGTTCCGGTGGGAACCATGTGGAAATTCAGAGTGCAGGTGAGTCGCTGCTCCTAGAAATGAAGGATAAGGAACGGGCAAACAGTGAGGCTGTACAGTAGACTTTACGGGGTGTCAATGTGCAAAGGGCTGTTTGAGTCTGAAGGAAAAGGGAACAGAAGGGAGAAACATCTTAACCTTGTTGGCTAGCACTGTAACTTCTAAAGAGTGCCAGATATGGACTTGGTTCATATTCTTTGTGCCTGCTGTCCCTGTACATTTTTATATGGGTGGCAAATTGTACTTTTACTATTGTTAGGTGGCTGAAAGGGTGAGGGCAGTGGCGCCCTCTTTGCTGATGGGATTATGACAGACTTAATGCGGCAGCTGGAGTTATTCTAGAGCTCCTTAGCAGGGGAGACACTCTGCAGCACCTCCTAATGCATTACCAACAAGGCTTTGACCTATGGCCTTGCATTTCTTCTTCAGGTGAGTGAGTCGGGCGTCCACAGGCCTCACGTCGCAGGTATTCATGGCCGAAGCAACGATGGAGCCTATTCTCTGGTTCTGGCAGGCGGATATGAAGATGATGTAGTAAGTGACATTGCTGTATCTCTCAGTGCTGCCCTCCTTTTTGCCAGAAGGCCTAATAACCAATTAGATGTTTGTGTTTCAATTAAACGTTTCTTAAGAAAGGTAGACTTACCCACATTTGTCTCCAAGCCATTGTCTTGAGATCCCTATCCTTAGCACAGTATCCCTAGATAACCTGACCTTAGATTCTTTTGTTCTTCTGCTAACATTTCTTCTACTTATCACCTGTTAAATTAGCAACCAATGCCATCTCCCCTCAGCCCTGAGCTTTTGGTTAGTGTGCACTGAAATCCTTAAATTGGTTCTTTTGGTCAAGAAAAACTGATTTAATAATGAAAGGCTAGGGTGAGTTCATTCACGAGGGAGGGCTGCTCAGCACATCTCAGCTCTGCTGCTCCAGTCATAACAGGCTCTGAGCTGTGCATGTATGCGATACGGTATTTGAATTAAAATATGTGTAAGAAATATAGGTGTAAAACAGTATCCCAGGACTTGGGATACTGCTAAGAGCATCTTAGCTAAGAGCAAGTCGAAAACAACAGTCCCCTCGCAGTTGTTGCTGTAGATCATGCTATGCTGGCTGGGGAATTCTGGGAGCTGAAGTCCACACATCTTAAAGTTGCTGAAGTTGAGAAACACTGATCTAGATTAGTTAGCTCAGACTGGGGGAGTCAGACCGGAGCAGCATGGAGTCTTCCAATGTGGGAGGTGGCAGTATTTCTTGTTCAATGCTTACAAATGAACAGTTGACGCATAAAGGTTAGCATGCCACTGCTGTCAAGCTAATTGAGTGCAAGGAATGTATCGTGGTGCTGCTGCATCTTTCTTTCTTTTACAGTGCGTAATAGAAGGGGGGTGGTGTGTGTATTATAGACTTGATCAGCTGTACTGGCCCTAAGAGATATAAACTAGTGTTGAGGCCAAAGACTATTTATTAGTGTTCAGGCCAAAGTTTGTTTATTTGTATTGATATATAAAATCAATAATTTTATATATTGATTAAGCTGCAATGTGGCAGAGCTAGAACTCAGTTCATGTCCTCTTTGCAAATGATCACATTTGGAAGAACTCAAAACAGTTTGTTAAGCAAATCATGAATAGGCTTAGGGCGAGTTGGAGAAATATTTCAGTATTCCACAGGTGCCATTCTAAAAACCTTGCACACCAATTAATAAAGTTAAGCAAATATCCAAGTCTTTAAGTGCCAAAATCAATTTATTCAGGTGCTCGAGTGACCAGCTGATTGGGATTTTTCCAGCCCTGGATTGAACTATCTGAATATATTTCAGGATCATGGAAATTCTTTTACTTACACGGGAAGTGGAGGCCGTGACCTTTCTGGGAACAAACGTACAGCTGAACAGTCTTGTGATCAAAAACTTACAAAAATGAACAGGTAAGGAGAACTCCAAGGGATTTTGCAAAAGGTGGGGAGTTAGTAAAGCTCAATAAGTCTGATTTCTCTAAGCAGTTTTTAGAGTAGCATTTATAATTCAGTGGATGCTTAATGGTTTGTCTGCAGCAGTGTCTATTAAATCTTCGTATCTTTCTGATCATATTTAGCTTTTGGATGGGGTGTTTTTGCAGTTTATGTTCTCATGTAATTGCTCTCATGCATTCAGATACGTATTACTGTGTTATTGCACACCTGCTTTGTATTATTGGAACCACATGTGGGCCTCAAACACTTCAGAAAGCACATTAAAGGGAAAAATTTGCATGTAGGCAAACTTCTGCCAACGAACAACTGTTCTTTCTACATGAATGCCTACGACAGCATGCTCTGCCTACCAGTGTAAGATACAGACCTCCAATAAAACTGCAGCTGGATGGAAAATAGCTCAACAAAGTGGCTGAAGAATTGTACATTTAATGATTATGGATGCTCATCTTAGACCAGTGTTTCTCAACCTTGGCCACTTGAAGATGTGTGGACTTCAACTCCCAGAATTCCCCAGTACCAGCACATCATAGATAACCTCAAGGATCAACTAGAACAAACCCTGACTCCGGAACATAGACCCAGAACACCAAGACTACATCTCTAAGACAAGCCAGAAAAAAGAAAAAAACAAAACTCCAAACCAAACTGCTCAAGTTAAGCCCAAGAAGCAACTGAACCAGAATGGATGGTAAACATTTCCAGCTGGCCACGATCCACTGCAGAACACAGTACAAGTACTTGTTTAGCAACCACAGTTGGGACCGGCAACTCGGTCCATAAGTGAAATCACAACTGTGCTTATGATCTTACTTCAGCTTTGCTTTACAGACCTGCGAAGGTCATAAATGCAAGGATTGGTTATAAAGTTACTTTTTCATCATTATAACTATGAATGGTCACTAAGTGAGGCAGTTGCTAAACAAGAACTACCTATATCCTCCAGAAAGGTCTCAGCTACAACATGGAGGAGGATGCTAACCAATTAGAATTCTTTGCAGCCTTGGAAGCAGCATTCAGAACTACAGGACTTACTACAGAGACCCAAGGAAGCATAAGGGAGACAATTATACCATAGACCAGAAGAATACAGAAACAGAACCAACTCAAAGCAGAAGAGCAAAGACTCTTCACATCCATAGATCCAGAACTAGTAAAACAATCAATTGTAGCAGTACTGCACAACACCACTGATGTAGCCAAATACAATAACATTGAAATACCCAGACTCATGGATCTCATCAACCTTTGCCTCAATACGTACTTTCAGTCTGATGGGCAAATATACCAACAAATCAGAGGAACACCACTACTGCAACCGCACAGCATCTCTGTAGCACACAAACCAACTGAAGCCCTCCAAAACTTCTTAAGCAAACCAAAAGACCCAGTAGCCCAAGAAGGAAAAACAGCACTCATCTACAACATACAATGCAAGGACTGTAACAACCACTATGTAGGACAGATGGGCAGAAGGCTTGCAGAACACATCCACAAACACCAACTAGCAGTCAGAAGACATGACAAAAACTCCTTAATCGTACAACATATGCAGAGACTCAATCCCAGTTTCAGCTGGGAAACTATTAGTGTCTGAGACCAAGCCAAATCCACAAATGCTAGGGAATTCCTGGAAACTTTACATTCAGACAAATCAGCCATCAATAGACACAAAGAGATAAACCACATTTATGCACTATTCAAAAGAGACAATTAAAAAACCTAGGAAGGAAACAGAAAGACTAGAACATATCCCCTCCAGCAGCCAACACTCAGATAAGCAGGGATCAACACCAGACAGACAATCAGGCAGAAAACAATACTCTGATTGAGGAGGAAACCACACCCCCACCAACACTGGCAAGGCAAAGCTGCTATATATTTTGTAAGTTGTAAACTATTGTAAGTTATTCCAGGTTCATCAGAGTACGAATGTAATGACAGACAAGATGGAAAGACTAATAATAAAAAGTTTACTTGGTGATATAGTTGGACGTACCTACTTGCTGGCATGTCCTACTGCAGGTATCTTTCACCTACAAATAGTAGGTCATGTAATGACGGTAATTGGGACCGGAATTTCCATCGCTAGGCAATGCAGTTGTAAAGCACGATGTCACGTGACTGTGCCACTTAGCGACGGAAATTTGAGCACTTCCATTTGCCATTGTTAAGCGAATCATTAAGTGTGAGGCCATATGGTCACTATTTGTGACCTCCTGCTGGCTTCTCCATTGACTTTGCTTGAAGGAAACCAGCAAAGAAGATTGCAAATGGCAATCATGTGATCGCAGGGACACTGTGACCATCATAAGTATGAGGACCGGTTGTAAGTACCATTTGTTCAGCACTGTTGTAAGTTTGAATGGTCGCCGAACAAATGGTTGTTAAGCAAGGACCACCTGTAATTTGTACTCTGGCTTGGGAAGGAGTCTGTCTGCTCACAGCTGAATCGCTTGCTATCATAGGTGCCTCTTGTAAGAAAACTAGGTGCCTTTTCCTACTGTACGGCTTGAACCTAGGTAACTTTCCCATTCGGGAACCTGACTCTCTGTCTTCGAATGTAATTGTATTCCTTCTCTTTGAAATTCTGGCTACTGTCATTTATATTACTAGAGAGACAAAAGGCAGGCTGGGGGAGGTTCTTCTCTTCCAACTTTCAGATTATTCTGAGAAATAGCTTTCTCACTCCCATCATGTAGAAGTATGCATATCTGAAGAATACTATAAGTGTTTTCTCTGGAGGATAAGATTCCCAGGTTTTCATAAGGATAAGTGAGGGATTGGGGTCTGTCATCCTGTCAGTTGGGATTGTCCTTGAAGATACAAATCCTCAGAGGAGCTAAGCAGTCCACTTTTCCTTTATTCTTAGAGTTAGAGGGGTTGTGGATATTCCATATGGTAAATACAGAATTCTGCATAGAGATGACAATGTTTAATTATATAAGTATATAAAACTTCAAGTTATAAAATCTATTCCCAGTAGGAGACTTCAGGAAGTGAACACTAGTTGCTGGGGAGCGGCTGTGATTCTTACATTTTATTTGCAGGGTGTCCCAGAGACATCTGGTTGGGAATACTGTTGGCAGCAGGGAACTGTCCAGGATTCTTCTATGCTCAATCTCAAGTGATATGTACTGGGACATGAAGGAGAAATTTGCAATCCCTACTGTGTCAATGCCCTGTAATAGAACAAAAGGTTTGGTTCCCCAGGGAAGACCCCTAAAACCGTTTTTGTGCTCCTTTTTTGCAGAGCTCTGGCCCTGAACTGCAGCGCTCCGATTAATGATAAAGAGGGTGCTGAAGCAAAGGACTGGCGAGCCGGCAAACCAGTCCGGGTGGTACGGAATGTGAAGGGAGGCAGATACAGTAAATATGCCCCCACAGATGGAAACCGCTACGATGGGATCTATAAGGTAAGGTTGAGTTGATTTGTAAATGTGGGTCCAAAGCTTGAGGAAAGGAGGGGGTATGCCTTGCCGAGTGGATATTTAAGAGAGAGTGTATGGAATTGAAACCTCTTTGTAACTTTTTAAAGGTAGTTAAATACTGGCCTGAAACAGGGAAATCTGGCTTCTTGGTCTGGCGCTATATGCTCAGGAGAGATGATGAGGAGCCGGCCCCTTGGACCAGAGAAGGCAAAGAGAGGATGAAGAAGCTTGGCCTCACCATGCAGGTACACAGTTGGGCAGCATTGCCTTGTAAAGATGGCGATGAGCTGCCCTTATTATCCACCATTTTAACAGGTGTGGGTTGTGCCAAAACTAACTTTTTCATAACCCTGATTTAGTATCCTGAAGGGTATCTGGAAGCCGTTGCAAACAAAGATAAAGAAAACAGCAAGAAAATAGAAGTAGAAACCCCAGGACAAGGGAAGAGGAAAAGGAAATCTGGTAAACTGTCTTCTTTAGTTGGCTTGCCCAAACAGCTTTTTAAGGTTTTTCTTGAATGAATGAACGAATGAGCAAGTCCTGTACGATTGTGCACTCTCCTAGGAAATGAATCGGATCTTTGTGTCTCTCCTGCTGCTACACCAAAGAAAACTAAAGTGGAGGTCTACAAACTTACACCCCAGCAGAAGGCTCTTATTAAAGACGACGAAGCCAATACAAAGTTGTGGAATGAAGCACTAGAAGCCCTTAAGGATGGACCGGTAGGTGGGGCGAGCGTAACGGGTGGCCACCGGTTGCTTTTGTTTGCTTTGGAGATTACCTGGTCTGCAGGTACTGTGGAATGAAATGGCAGGATCCTGTCAATGGGAGGAACCAATTCTGTAAGCATCTTTAAAGAGCCCATCAGAATTTAAATGAATTTACCACGGCAGGGAAAAAACCGTGCAACACTTCTGTCGCAGGCAGCTCTTTTGCTTTGGTGAAATGGCTCCGCTATTCTGCCTTGGGCAGCTGGCTTGCCTTCTCCTCCATCCACTCCCAGGTTGAAATGGCTTTCTGTGCGCTTTAGTCAAACTCTCTCAGATCCTGTGTGCAAAAGCCTCCTGGATGGATGGCCAGCCTGCCTGCCTCAGTATTCTGCCAGGTTTAAAGGCAGTCCCATTACAGCAGCTCTGTCCCGGATGTCATTGCTGTGCATATGAAAGAGAAAAATCCATGGTGACAATCAGTGTAAGAGCAGAAGGCTGCAGCACATGTATAATTTCAGCTGATAAAAAGCACTGCCAGCCACTGCCCTGTCTGAATTTCCCTTCTAGCAACAAATTCAACCCTGCTGACCTTCCAGAAAGCTGTGAAGACCTGGCTCTTTCTTCAGGCTGGGATGTTAGTGGAGCCCTTGATTACAGTACAATCGTCGTTATTGTACTCTGTATTGTAATGCTTTACATTTTTTCAGTTGACATCATTTTTATATATTGTTGGTTAGCTGCCCGGTTTTCCGGATAAATAAATAGGTCCAGTTCTTAGCTGCATGCTTGAACTTTGAACCCCATCCCAGACAAGAGGTGACCTTCTCTGCTGCAGGGTCAGTTTTCCTGTGGCACTATCCACATTAACTGACGACTCAGCTTATTTACCCTCGCCCATCCCCCAAGCAATGGCTCAGAAATGGCCCCAAACCCCAGGGATCTGCAGAAAATGGAGTATCATCATGACGGTAACACAGGTCTCATTGCAGTAACGGAGGCAAACACGAAGCCATCTTTCTCCACGGCCAGATTGACTTTCTTCAGAAAGGATGCAGTGTGGAATATTTCCTCTATTGGGGATAAGGCATGATGATGATGATGATGATGATGATGATGATGATGATGATGATGATGATAGGAGCATTATGACCACTCTAATTCTCTTTCTTGGCAGAAATTCCTGAACAAAGTGGAAGAAACCTTTCTGTGCATTTGCTGCCAGGAGGTGGTTTTTCGACCAATCACCACGGTGTGCCAGCACAACGTATGTAAGGTGAGTAGCTGTCATTCTTCAAGTGTGTGTGCAAACTTGAGGTGGTCCAGGGCTCTGCTTAAGGTGCATTGGGTAGGCAGGGCAGCAGTGGGGCATGGCGATGATAAAAAGTAGGCAGAAGAACATCATGGGCATGGAAAGGGGTTTTCTGGTATAGTTCCAATGGTCGAGGAAAGTGGGCTTTTGTGTTGTTTGTTTTTTATGACGGCATAAGCTTATTTCGGCTTTATAACTATGCCTGTGGATGGCTTGGCAGATTTCAGCAGTCACAGTTTGTCGGCCTCCTGCAATCACGGTGTTACGGATTGTTGTTGGAGGGTGGGAAAAGGGGCAGATGCTTTCTAGACACACACACAGAGTATTCTCTAAATTACAGTGATGTTTATTGTTACTGCACTTTTAGTTAAATAATTTGTGCTTATTTCTAATATACAGAGTGGCCATAGCTTAACAAACAATACAGGCATTTCTGTATGGAGCTTTTGACAGTTTCTTAACTATCACCTTCCCTCTCTGATTAACCCCTCCCAGGGGTTCCTTAACGCAACTTTGATGTGCTTAGTCTGTTATTACAGCTTCAGTACTCTACCTTTGGGGGCTTGTCCTTAGGCAAAAATAGATCTTTCCTGAGCTTGCAGATCTCTCTTTGAGATCCTGCGTATTCCTGTGGAGCCCTCAGCTGCAAATTCCTCCTCCAGCTAGCACTGGGTTCACACAGCACATCCAGTCCACACACCACATATACAACACCAGCAGTGTCTAGAAACCACCTGCAATCTCTCCATTGCTTAACAGATCTGCCCTTCCTAGATTTTGATCAAAGGAACATGCGCTTGCTCCCCAGGGTCTTAATTAGGCAGGAAGCTTCTAGCAGCCTGATAATTCTCATGGTTTTGGCAAATAGGGAAAAAAAAACCCTTTTACTCTGACCAAGTTACAACTTTCCATGTCCATCAGGGCAGCTCATCCTGCCGGAGTTGGCTGTCTGATTCAGAACATGGGTTGTGGAATTATAAACGCCAGAGTCTTGATAAAAGGTTGGAAAATGTTCTGACAATCAATATACAGTCACCCTTGATAAGTATCAGTACAAAGCCGAATGAAGTGCGTGCAATCTTTGTCTTAAATCTCTTGCTCTTTACTAGAAGAACTGAGAAGAGTTTTAGTAGAGGTATTAATGGCTGGGCTAGCAAACTCCTCTTTTCTGTTCTGATCTTTAGGAGACCTTTAATCTAGATTTGGCATAATGGGATCATCAATATGCCAAATCCAGGTTTCAGAGGTTGGTTGCTGCCCCTCAATTCTGCTACTCCTTCTTCTCAGAGATGGACATTGTAGTATTTTTTATTATTGTTGGTTGCACAGTAAGCCAGATGTTTAGACTGGATTTGGCATTTTGATCCACCAATTGAATCCTTCCCAAGGACCTGGGATAGGCAGATGTTGTTGTTTGATGGGGTTAAAGGTATCGTTGCAGGATATAAGCTGTTCCAAGTAAAGCTGCCTTTTATAATGGACTGATGGTGATTTTGTCAATGCCAAGGTCTTCAAGGGGTGCTTCAGATGTTTTGGGATGGCGCCCAAGGCGCCTATGACTCTTGGGGCTCTCTTGGCTTTCTTTTGCCACAGTTGTTCTACTTCTGTTTGCAGCTCTTTGTATCTTGTGATTTTCTCCAGTTCTTCCTCTTCTCTTCTGCTGTCTCTAGGTATTGCACTGTCCACTATCCAGACTTTTTTGTGTTTCTTATCAGCAATTGTTACGTCTGGGGTGTTGTGTGACAGGTGCTCGTCTGTTTGAATTCTAAAATCCATGAGCATTTTAGCATCTTCATTTTCTATGACTTTGTCTGTTTTGTGTTCCCAGCAGTTCTTGCTTGCAGGCAAGCGGTATGTCTTCCAGAGATTCCAGTGCATCATTGATGCTATTTTGCCATGCTGTTGTTCTTATACAGTCGGTGTGATTGTTGTTGTTATTTTGGTGCCTTCAAGTCAGTCTTGACTCCTGGTGCCTGCCTGGACAACCTCTGTGATTTTCGTGGCCAGGTTTTTCAGAAGCGGTTTGCCCTCGCCTGCTTCCTAGAGCTGAAAGGGAGGGCCTGGCCCAAGGTCCCCCAGCTGGCTTTGTGCCTAAGGCGGGACTCGAACTCACCATTTCCTGGTTTCTAGCCTGATGCCTTCACCACTACACCACACTAGCTTTCAGTAGTGTTTTATTACTTTGATCCTAAAGTATTTTATTTGATCCTAAAGTGAGTCGCTTTGTGTGAGATGGGCAGCTATATGAATTGAATGAATGAATGAATGAATGAATGAATGAATGCATGCATGCT